TTCTTCACGGCCGCCGGTGGGCACTGGGCGGAGCTTTTAAATTGCGCCGACAACGTTGGGAAGATTCCTGCGGCACTCCGCTCCTCCAGCACCCCATCCTCTCCTATGGCGCCTGGCGCCGCCTTGAAAGCGCCGAGGGGGAGCCCTGCGCTGGATGGATGGACCCCGAGAAACTCGGCCAGGAAGGGAGGGCGAGAGCAAGCCCGCTCACAGTTGGCAGTTGACCACTTCATGGAGCGGCGCCAGCCGTGGGGACGAGGGGGGGCCAGTTCCCCCCCCTCTGCCTGGAGGCCAGAACCAAGGCTGGGCTACCTTAGCCCCAACCAGCTCCAGCGCCCCTAGAGTTGAATGCGTCCTTCGGGGGCGAATTCCGTTGCTCTGCTCAGGCCCAACAACTCCGATGAAGGTCTGATTCATGTCTGCGCTGGAACTCTGATTCAAGTCTGGTCCTTAGCGCGAACTCGGATTAAGGTCTGTCTGAAACTCTGATTTAACTCTGGCCCTGAGGCCCCAGTCTGATTTAGGTATGACTGGGAACTCTAAAAGTGAATTATCCCGGCAAAGCAACCTAACAGCGATGTGTAGAAACATATCGGAAAGCATTCCCCTTAAGATTCAGATGAAAATCAAGTTGTCGAATTCTGCTGTTCTCGCAGTCGTAGTCGCATTCGCGATGACAGTCGCAGCGGCAACGGCAGTCGCAGTCACAGCCTCAGCCTGCCTCAGCCTCAGCCTGCATCAGCCTCAGCCTCAGCCTCAGCCTGCCTCAGCACCAGCCTGCCTCAGCCTCAGCCTCAGCCTGCCTCAGCCTCAGCCTCAGCCTGCTGCAGCCTCAGCCTCAGTCTGCCTTCAGCCTCGGCCTCAGCCTCAGCCTGCCTCAGCCTCAGCCTGCCTCGGCCGCAGCATCAGCCTGCCTCAGCATTCAAAATGTGGCCCAGGAATGAAGTTCTGGGATAAACTAGAAAGAACACGAAAATGGCCCTACAGTTGGCTCCGGGCATTCAAAATCATGCCCAGGAATTGAGTTCTGGGAACTCGAAGAGCACGAAGTGGCCTACAGTTGGCTCCGGGCATTCAAAATGTGGCCCGGGAATGGTGTTCTGAGTTCTGGGAACTCGAAGAGCACGAAGTGGCCTACAGTTGGCTCCGGGCATTCAAAATGTGGCCCGGGAATGGTGTTTTGGGAAGTCCAATAGCACGAAGTGGCCTATAGTTGGCTCTGGGCATCCAAAATGTGGCCCGGGAAAGGGAATTGGGAAGGGAGGGGGGGAGGGAGTGGGAATGGATTCTGGGAACTCGAAGAAGATACACGAAGTGGTCTCTACATTTTGGCTCCGGCATTCAAAATCAGCCCAGGAATGGAGTTAGTTTTTGGGGACTCGAAAGACCACGAATTGTGGCCTAATACAGTTGGCTTCCGGGCAGGGCGGCATCCAAAATGTGCCAAGGGAAGCGGGGAATGGAGTTCTGGGAAGTCGAAGAGCACGAAGGTGGCCTCAGTTTGCTTCCGGGCATTCAGAATGTGGCCCGGGGAATGGAGTTGAAGAATGGAGATCTGGGAGTCGTAGAGCACGAAGTGTGCGACTGTTGGCTTTTTTTTTTTTGTTTTTTTTTTTTTTAAAACGACTTCTGCGGCACCCTGTCCGGCACCCGCCCAGACCCCCCTGTGGAGTCATCTGCTGTTCTCTTTTGACACCACTAGAAACCTATCAGAACAAGCTGTTAGGTAATATGATTATGGTTTGGTTTGGGCTCGCCGAAACCGATGTCGCGGGGTCGGCCCAGAACGCTGCCGGGTCGGCCCCGTGCGCATGCATCTTCAAGAACAACAACCAAATAATAAGCTAAGCGGCAGGTCGTGGCTGGGGGTCCAGCCGCCAGCTGCCAAATGCTGCGAGCTGGGCCTGCCTGCGCACGCCGCCCTGCGGCAACGCTAAGGCTAAGGTCTGCGCGGGGGGGCGCGGGGCAGCGCCCCCCGCCTGCGCGGCCCTGCCCAAAACTGCTCAACGGCAGCTGGGGCGAAAAAAACTCACCTGCCGAGGCTTGCTCATCAGGGCTGCCGGCTGCCGCGCCGCGACAGGATGCGCATCGCGGTGACCGCTACAATCCCCGCCGCCCGCCCGGGACAGGTCGGGGGCAGGACGCGCAGAGGAGAAGCGCTGTACCTTTCGGAGGCTCGGGGGCGCGGGAGGCGCCCTGGGAGGTGCCCAGAACGAAGGCGGGGACAAGGGGCAAGGGTAGGAACGATCGCGAGAACGAAAGCGGATGCGAGGGCAGGAACTGGTGTGGGCGGGGGCGACGGGCGAGAACGAGGGCGAGAACGAGGGCGACAATGAGGGCGGGAACGAGGGCGAGAACGAGGGCGAGAACGAAGGCGGGAACGAAGGCGGGGACAAAGGCGGGAGCGAAGGCGAGAACGGGAGGTAAAGAGGGCGGGTACGAGGGCGGGAGCGAGGGCAAGAACGAAGGGCGAGAACGAGGGCGGGAGCGGGAACAAGGGCGAGAACAAGGGCGGGAACGACGGCGGGAGCGACGGCGGGAGCGAAGGCGAAAACGAGGGAGAGAACGAGGCGAAAACGAGGGCGGGAACGAGGGCGGGAACGAGGGCGAGAACGAGGGCGGGAACAAGGGCGGGAGCGAATGCGGGAACGAGGGCGAGAACGAGGGCGAGAACGAGGGCAGAGAACGGGGGGAGAGAAACGAGGGCGGACGTGAAGGCGGGCAACGGAGGGGGGAGCGAGGGCGGGAATGAGGGCGGGGGGCCGCCTCTGGGCGCCTCAGAGATTCCTCCGTCTGTCTGAAGTGTGTTTAAAATCCGTTTGAAGTCTGTTTGGCCGAAACTCTGTTTCAAGTTTTGTTTCCCCGGGCGGCCCTTGGGTTCCCCGGGCGGCCTCCGGGCGGCCCCGGAACGAGGGCGGGAACGAAGGAGAGAATGAGGTCGGGAACGAGAGCGGGCACGAGGGCGACAACGAGGGCGAGGACGAATGCGGGAACGAGGGCGAGAACGAGGGCGAGAACGAGGGCGGGAACGAGGGCGGGAACGAGGGCGGGAACGAGGGCGGGAACGAAGGCGAGAACGAGGGCGGGAGCGAGGGCGGGAACGAGGGCGAAAACGACTGCGGGAGCGACAGCGGGAATGAGAGCGGGGGCGACGGCGGGGGCGAAGACGAAAACGAGGGCGGGATCGAAGGTTGGAACGAGGGCGGGAACGACGGCGGGAACGACGGTGAGAGCAAGGACGGGATCGAAGGCGAAGGCGAGGAAGAGGGCTGAAGTGAAAATGGCCTCGGGCGGGGGCGAGGGCGGGCGCGGGGGCGAGGGCGGAGACGAGGCCGGGCGCGGGGCCTGGAGCGAGGGGGGAAGCGAGGGCGAGAACGAGGGCGGGACACTGAGGCCGAGGAGCGAAGACTGACGCTCGATACGGAGGAGGGGGGGGGGGAGGATGATGAGGACGAGGAGGAGGAACAAAATGACGAAGGGAGGAATGGGGGCCGAGAGCAGAGGAAGGACAGCACATGTAGGGCGACGGCGACCGAGGAAGGAGGAAACGGGAATAGTGAGGCCAAGGGGGCAGGAAGCGGAGGAGGAGGGATAGTGGAGGATAAGGGCGGGAATTGGGGGAGGGAGGAGACAAACTGAGGATGAGGGGAGGGGGGGGGGGAAGAGGGACGCGGACGGGGGAGGAGGGAAAGGGAGGGAGAGGGAAGCGGAGGAAGGAGGGAGGGGATTGACGAGGTAGGAAAGAGAGCGAGAGGAGGAGGGATGATGGGCAAGGCGAGAGGGCAAACGCACTTGCGCAGGGCGCGCCGCGCCCTCCGCCGGGACTGCAAGAACTCTGATGGTACTCTGATTCAGCTCTGTTTTGGCTCTGGCCTGAAACTCTTCTCTGGGTTGGCTGAAACTCTGATTTGGCTCTGGCCTGAAACTCTGTTTTATCTCTCTGGTTTAGCTGAAACTCTGATTGAGTTTTGGTCTGGAACTCTGATTTAACTCTGATTTATGTAGCTCTGGCTGGGGACAGAGCCAAATCAGAGTTGAATCAAAGTTCCGACCACAGTTAAATCAGAGTTTCAAACAAATCAAGGATGAAACAGAGTTCTGGGCCAGAGTTGAACCAGAGTTGAGTCAGAGTATTACTAGATTTTTTTGAGTTTAGCTTTTGAGGCTAGGTTGCCTCCAAAACACATACTCAACCCTAGAGGAACAAAAAACCAACATAAACTGACACTTCGGAGGTCCAGCTCAGATCCAAGACATCCGCGCGGAGCGTCGAACCTTTATGATCATGTTTTTTGGTTCAAGGTAATTACCGTGTTGGGAGCAGGGGATTGGAAATGTATAGGGCACGACCACGAAATAGACACACTCAACATACGCGATAATGCAGATGATCGCATCATTTCTCCCAGCCCCATCCTCCCAATCCAATGCTTGTCTTTCTGATCAACGCCTCCTCCACATCCTCCCGGAAACGTGGCAACACCTCCTCCTCTTGGAAAGAGCCAATCGTACCCCAAGGACGGCGTACTCCCAATGAGGTGTCGCATTGGCCACCAGTCCAGCCACGTGGTTGGCGCCAAAACGCAGCCGTTGGGCGCCCCGAGGCGGGCCCTGAGGCCCCCCTGTCCAGGGTACGTCTATTATGGGGTACGTTTGGCCTCCCGAAAGCGTGGCAGGAACCAAGGCAGGGCCGCTTCAGCCCCAGCCAGCTCCAACGCCCCTAGAGGCACAAAACACAGCATAAGCTCAAACTTTCGGAGCGTCAAGAATTTATGTTCATGTTTTTTGCTGCTGTCGACCAGCGCCTCCTCTAGAGGGCAGGAAATCCACCCCGATAATAACCACCCCGACACGCCCGTTTAGTAAACGCACCCAAAGAAGGAATCAAGCAGGGCAGGGCTGTTTAGTGAACGCCCATGGCCCTTTAGTAAATGCAAATTGTCGGGTCTGGGTGTTTTTTCCTCCCTTGATCCTCCTCCTACCCGCAGCTCGGCCTAGGCCTATGATGAAGACGGCCCAGCCCAGCTGCAGCACCGCGTAGCCCTGGTTGGCCGCGTGCGCGGCCTCGGGCGCGCTGCATCGAGGTCGCCTCCACCCCCCCCCCCTACACCCCACCTCCACCCCCCTATATACTCCTCTCTCCTCCTCCTGCCTCATCCTCCTCCTCCTACTCTCCTCCTACAACCTGGATCCGCCTCCTCTCTTCCTCTTCTTCTCCTCCTCACCTCCTCCCCTCCTCCTCTCTCATGATCCTCTCTCCTACTCCTTCCCCTCCCCCCCCGATGGAGTCTCGGGCGGCATGTGGGTGGCACGCAGCGTATCGAGCACATGGCGGCGTCCCCAATTTCTGTAGCGCTGCAGGTGTTGCCCGCCAAGAGGCCCTAGAGGGCCCCAAGAGGGCCCCCAAGGAGGCCCAAGAGGCCCCCAAGAGGCCCCAGAACTGGGCTACCCACCAGCCGCCCCCCCTATGGACATGGAGGGCAAAATCGGGGCCTTCGGGTTGGGTTGGGGGTTGGGTTTGGTGGGCGGTGAAAAAACGGCCCCCAAGATTGGCTCTCAACATGCCTACCAGAGGCACGAGGGCCTCCGACGAGGAATCCAAACGAACATCCACTGGGCCCTTTAACTTGATGACTTATGACCCCCGCAACCCAGGCACGGCGACTTGCCGTATGCAGCTGGATAGCGTTGCCAACTTGCGAAAATCACGCACCCGTGTTGGCGTGCATGCTGTGTGACCCCTCTCGCAAGCCCCCGGGGGGAGCCCTTGGACGCCCAACGGGGCTGGTGCGAGCCCGTGTCGGCCCCGTGACCCAACGGGGCCGTGTTGGCCATGACCGCCGCTCCAATACCGAGCCCTTGTGACACCAGCGAAATGCACGGCTGCACGCATCCGGATCTCCGACGATATGATGTTTTTTCAATCCAGGCGTTCCTCCTTGATTCTGGCCCCTGGGGGCCCGGACGCGAGCGGGGGGCGTAAGTGCTCGACGCCGATGGTGCCCACCAATGTTGCATGCATTCGGAAGCATTTTGAAGGGTGGCGACCAGCAAGTTGCCGGACAACCTACTGGGGAGTGGTGTGCACGCCAGAAAGGATGCGAGCTCTAAATTTCCTGCCCACGCACTGGGCGTCGCAAGTTTTTGCCAGCCCAGCCTGGCTCACTCTCGGCCCGCCAATGCACCGCACACCAGCACCTGTGCCTCAGCGAGGACCAGAAAGCGACGATGACCAACATGTCTTGGCTGCCCTGATATGCAACACGTGACCCGTACCGTGTTGACATAGAACTCAACTAGAACCACGCGCGCGCGTCGCGCGCGCTTAGGTTCTAGCTAGGATCGTTCTCGCTGGGAGTTTGACGTAGCTTCTCGGGAGCCTCTGAACCTGTCGGGGGCCTCCTGGAAGCAGGTTCGAAGCATTTTGGAGGCGATTTGGGGCTTCTCGGGGCCTCCGTTGGGCCTCTTGGGGGTCTCCTGGGGCCTCCTGAGGGGCCTCCTTGGGGCCTCCTGGCGGCCTCTTGGGGCGGAAGGCTCGAGCTTGCGGTTCGTGGTCCCCCTCTGGGCCCCCTCTTGGGCCCGTCTTGGGGCCCTCTTGGGCCATCTTGGGCGCATCTTGGGCCGTCTTGGGGCCCTCTTGGGCTGTCCTGGGGCCCTCTTGGAAGCTTCTTGGGCCGTCTTGGGGCGGTCTTGGGCGCCTCGTGGGCCGTCCTGTAACGTCGGAAAGCCCAAAAGACAACTTTGTTGAAAATGTACGTTTTACGAAGGGAATGGGCAATTTTTTGCGTCTAGGGGCCCTCTTGGGACGCATGTTCGAGGCTTCTTGGGGCCTCTTGGGGGCGTCCTTGGACGTCTGGAGGCCATCTTCAGCATCTCGGAGCCCGCTTGGAGGCTTTGGAAGTTCTTGGGCGTCTTGGGGCTTCTTGGGCTCGTCTTATCGACCGGGGAGGGCCTACGCAAGCACCCCCGACGAGCCCTCCGGGGTCCCAGGGAACGAAATTTGTGGTCGGGGCGACGGCCCCGGGCCCGGAACGGTCCCCCGTAATATGTACCTTTCATGCCCGTGAGAATAAACACTAGGGGATAATAAAGTTCGGGGTTCAGGGAGAGATAATAAAAGTAGCCCAGCAGACCTCAGCATAATCTCGAAGTAAGAGATGATCAAGAGGAGACCTAGCCGAGCACGTTTTGAGACATCCTTGGCGTTTAGTTTTCATAGAAATATCCTCAACAATGGCTTATCTCTCATGAAAATTGTTTTTTGTTAGTGCTCGTGTAGGGTAGCTCATGTGCCTCAATTTCCATGGATAATCAACCCCAGAGATAAAAAAGTTCAGGCGAGCGTGGGGACAGAGAGAAATATAAAAGAAGAAGAATACAGTATAAGAATAATAAGAAAGAAGAAGAAGAGGATAATAAGAAGAGGACGAAGAAAGGAAAAATCCAAAGTTCCAAATCTATCAATTTTAATTTACAAGCGCTTTATGAAAATTGATGTTTTAAGTGCTCGTGTAGGGTAGCTCATGTGCTTCATTTTCCATGGATAATCAACCACAGGGATAAAAAAGTTCAGGCGAGCGTGAGGACAGATAGAAATATAAAAGAAGAAGAGGAAAGTTGAATAATAATAAGAACATTGCTCGTTTCGTTTGAGTCTGCCTCCCAAAAATATTGGTTTCGCTTGACACATCCTGAAAAGTGTGATCGCTTCGCTTGATGTTGCTATATCAACATCGCTTGATGTTGCTATCTCAACATAGCGTTTCGAGGTGATAATGAAGTTCGGCCTCAGCGCTCGCCGCCCAATTTGAATTTTGTATAGGGCGACGATAATCAACTCTAAACACTGAAGGGGGGGGTCCCTTTATTATCATCGGCATGCGGTTATACACGTAGATTTTGAACGAAAGTCTGGCGCGATATGTTCGGCACAGGTCAACTCGTGCTAAATCAACAGGCAGCTAGGTTTTAACCTGGACGCGTTCACACGGTGCGGAATGTGTTGCAACACGGGTAATACAGGGCATGTAAGCAGCACGCGCATTTGTGAGTTTACGGCAAGTTAGTGTCGTGACGTTTTCGGCATTGGTTTCTGACACCGCATGGATCGTTCAATCTTGAACGACTGGCGGCTTCTGGATCCCGGCATCGTTCCATATTGGCCGATCCTGGGCCACTGGCGGCGTTCAACCTTGAGCGCCAGCGCTGGGGTCGCCGCCACGTCGACGCGACACAAACCCACCGCAGGCATGCGTGAGGACAGCACGACCCACCTCCTTGCCCCAGCCAAGACCCACTCCCGACCTGGTGATACACGAAGTCCCGGCTTGGGGGTGGGGGTGTTTCTGTTGGGGGCTCCATGGGGCAAAAAAACACCCTTACCCCCAGCCAGCACCCCTGGTTCACCAGGCCAGGAGAGGGGGTCCTGGCTGGGAATGGAGATGAACTGTGCTGTCCTCAATGCGGAAGGCCAGGTAGAGGCCAGGAGAGGAATAAGAGGTAGGAGCAGGAAGAGGAGGAGGAGCAGGAAGAGGAGGAGGAGGAGGAGGAGGATGCAGGAAGAGGAGGAGGAGCAGGAGGAGGAGGAGGAGGAGGCAGGCGCAGGCGGCGGGTGCCACGGCCGGTGAGGACAGGGGGCATCGCAGCCCCCGCCTCGGCGCGGGGCCCCAGTGGTTGCGCCCGCATGCCGCCGGCAACCCACTCTGGCGCACCCCGCACACGCTCCGTGGCCCCGCGCGGTGAGACTTGAGCGCTGTCGGCCACCGAACGGGCTCGATCGCGGGCCCGCTCGGCGGCCGAGCGGGCTCAGACGTTGAATGGGCTCAGGGTTGGAACCCTCGGGCAGGATGGCCCTGGCCCAGCACGGTGTCGTACAGTAATGGGAAATGAACGACTCTCATATTCAGCCCCCCCACAAGCCCCTCAGAAAACGCACCCCAGGAGGGAATTGGACAGGGCAAGATCGTTTCGTAAACGCCCGGGGCTGTTTAGTAAACGCCAGGTATGAGGGTCAGGGCAGTTCTTCTTCCTCCCTCGATGTGCCGTACATGCCTTCTGCGGATCCTCCTCCAAGTCATCCTCCCGTCTTGGTCGCCGTCCGCCCAGGGAGGCCCTCACGCTTTGAGGGTGGGAGACTCGAGCGCGCAGCCGCAGCACGGCCCCCAGCGCGCACCTCCTCGCGATTGCCGCAAGCCCCCCCTCTCCCCTCCTCTCCTCTCTCATCCTTCCTCCTCCTCCTCCTCCTCCTCCTCCTCCTCCTCCTCCTCCTCCTCCTCCTCCTCCTCCTCCTCCTCCCCCTACTCCTCCTCCTCCTCCTCCCTCCTCCGACCATGCACCTACTCCTGCTGTCCTGACTGACGCAAGTGGAGCAATCTGCGCACACCTTCCTGGGCCCCCCGGGCGTCGTGATGACCCTTACCACGACCTGTGGCAACGCTAAGGGGTCACCACCATTGGTGCGGCGTCTCCTCGAGGGAACGCCGTTTCTCGAGGAAGTAGGCCCCAAAGAACACTCCAGAGCCTTTAAAACGACCCCAGACGTTCAACGCCTCCGAGCTTCGATGCTGGAACCTCGGTTTCCAGGAGGAGCTGGTGACCCCACAAGTGGTGAGTGGTGACCCCCCTTGGCACTGCCCGACTACGGGCGTTGTCTCGCCATCTCGGCCGCCAGGGTCCCTTTCACATCAGGACGGCGACACTGAGGTAGGTACGCGTCAGAACAAAAGGGGTGCTTAGGATGGAGTCCAGAGCTTCAGGGGCAACGCCGCGGAAGAGCACGTCGGAGGTGAACGTCTTAGCACGCTGGCGAATGTCGATGCACTTCGCCCGATCCTAAAGAGGATTCTGGGCCGAGAAAGGGTGGCTGGTAAGAAATATGTCACTGCTTGAGCGCTACGATCACTGCGAGCCAGCGAGCCAAGCCAGGGGCCATGGAACTTGCTCAATTTTGTCATAGCCCCACAACCAGCAAGCAACGGTGCCTCCACGAGCTCTGCGACTGCGAACCGCAACAGCAAAGCTGCCGCAACACATGGCCAGCCATGACATCTTCACACAAGGAGGTAGAGCGAACGGACCCAAGCAGGGCGCCCAGCCCGTGAATGCGTAAACGAACCCAGACCTCGCCCAGACTTCCATGCCAAGGAGGGGCCATGGAGCTCTGGCCCGACCGTTCTGCATGCCGTGCGCATACTACGATTCATAAAGTGACGACGACAACGACGAGGTCAAAATGGAGCCATGCGGGCTAAACCTGCCAACTTTCGGTGCGCAAGCGATCCTTCCTTGACGACAGTGGATCTGGTTACCGATACCATGTGGTCAGCTCAGAATGGAAAGATCTCCGAACCAAGTCGCCCCGAGAGGCTGCCGACTTCGCTTTGGAACTCTGGCCGTGGGCTATGCTAGATCCTCTCGGCGCGGGGCTCGAAGCGAACCGACGAAAGAGAGCCCAACCTTGAACGCACGCGCCGCTCGCATCGGAGCACCACGGGCCCAACTGGAGGGGGGTGGGGAGGAGAGTAGTCGGCGTCGACGGCACCGTTGTCGTCGCCGCTGACGCCGGCCCTAACGTCAGCATGTGAGTCGGGATCGTCGTCCTAGTCCTGATGGTCGTGGTCGTGGTCGTGGTCGTAGTCCTGGTCGACGACGTCGTCGTGGTCGCCGTCGTCGTTGTCGCCGTCGTCGTCGTCGTCGTCGTCGCCGTCATCGTCGTCGTCGCCGCCGTCGTCGTCGTAGTCATCGTCGTGGTCGCTGTCGTCGTCGTCGTCGTCGCCACCGTCGTCGTCGCCGTCGTCGTCGTCGCCGCCCTCGTCGTCGCCGTCGTCGTCGTCGCCGTCGTCGTCGTCGTCGCGCACGTCGTCATCGTCGTCGTCGTCGTCTCCGTTGTCGTCGTCAACGTCGCCATCGTCGTCGTCGTCGTCGACGCCGTCGTCGTCGTCGTCGTCGTCGTCGTCCTCGTCGCTGTCGTCGTCGCCGTCATCGTCGCCGTCGTCGTCGTCGCCTCCGTCGTCGTCGTCGTCGTCGTCGTCGCCGCCGTCGTGGTCGTGGTCGCTGTCGCCGTCGTCATCCGTCTGTCGTTCGTCGTCGACGCCGTCGTGTCGCTGTCGTTCGTCGTGTCATCGTCGTCGTCTGGCTGATCGAGCTGCGTTATCGTCGTCGTCGTTGTCGTCGTAGTCGTCGTCGTCGTCGTTGCCGTCGTCGCCGTCATCGTCGTCGTCGCCGCCGTCGTCGTCGTAGTCATCGTCGTGGTCGCTGTCGTCGTCGTCGTCGTCGCCACCGTCGTCGTCGCCGTCGTCGTCGTCGCCGCCCTCGTCGTCGCCGTCGTCGTCGTCGCCGTCGTCGTCGTCGTCGCGCACGTCGTCATCGTCGTCGTCGTCGTCTCCGTTGTCGTCGTCAACGTCGCCATCGTCGTCGTCGTCGTCGACGCCGTCGTCGTCGTCGTCGTCGTCGTCGTAGTCGTCGTCGTCGTCGCTGGTCGTCGACGACGTCATAGTGGCCGTCGTCGTCGTCGCCTGTCGTCGTCGTCGTAGTCGTCGCCGCGCCGTCGGGTCTGGTCGCTGTCGCGTCGTCGTCGGTCGTCGTCGTCTCGGTCGCCGCCGTCGTCGTCGTCGTCGTCGTGTCATCGTCGTCGTCAGTCGTCGTCGCTGCCGTTATCGTCGTCGTGTTTGTCGTCGTAGTCGTCGTCGTCGTCTTCCGTAGTCATCGTCGTCGTCGCTGCCGTCGCGTCGTCAGCGTCGCCGTCGTCGTCGTCGTCGTCGTCGTCGCCGTCGCCGTCGTTCGTCGTCGCCTGCACCGCCGTCGTCGTCGTCGTTCACGCCGTAGTCGTCGCCGTCGCCGTCGTCGTCGTGTCGTCGCGCTCGTCGTAATCGTCGTCGTCGTCGTCTCAGTCGTGTTCGTCAACGTCGCCGGTCGTCGTCGTCGTCGTCGTCGCCGTCGTCGCCGCCGCCGTCGTCGTCGTCGGTCCGTCGTCGTCGTCGTCGTCGTCGTCGTCGCTGTCGTCGTCGCCGTCATCGTCGCCGTCGTTGTCGTCGCCACCGTCGTCGTCGTCGTCGTCGTCATCGCCGTCGTCGTCGTCGTCGTGGCCGTCGTGGTCGTGGTCGCTGTCGCCGTCGTCGTCGTCGACGTCGCCATCGTCGTCGCCGTCGTCGTCGTCGTCGCCGCCGTCGTCGTCGTCGTCGTCGTTGTCGTCGTCGTCGGTCGTCGTCGCCGTCGTCGATGCCGTTATCGTCGTCTTCGTCGTCGTCGTAGTCGTCTCGTCGTCCTCGTCGTCGTCGCCGCCAGTCGTCGTCAAGCGTCGCCGTCGTTTCGTCGTCGTCGTCGTCATCGCGGATGTCGCGGTCCGGCGGTCGTCGCCAGCTACCGCAGTCGTTTCGTCTCGTCCCGCCGTCGTTCGTCGTCGTCGTCGTCGTCGTCGTCTTCGGTCGTCGTCGCCCTCGTCTCGCCGTCGTCGGTCGTCACCATCGTCGGCGCTCGTCGTCGAGTCGCTGTCGCGGTGCTGCTCGCGTCGTCACAGTGTCGTCGTCGTCGCCGCCGCCGTCGTCGTCGTCGTCGTCGTCGTCGTCGTCGTCGTCGTCGTCGTCGGTCGTCGCGTGGTCGCTGTCGTCGTGTCTCTGTCGCCGTCGTCGTCGTCGCCGCCGTCGTCGTCGACGTCGTCGTCGACGTCGTCGTCGTCAGTGTCGTCGCCATCGTCGTCAGCGTCGCCGTCCCGTCGTCGTCGTCGTCGTCGTCGTCGTCGTCGTCGTGGTCGCTGTCGTCGTCGTCTCTGTCGCCGTCGTCGTCGTCGTCTCCGCCGTCGTCATCGACGTCGTCGCCGCCGTCGTCGTCGTCGGTGTCGTCGCCATCGTCGTCGTCGTCGCCGTCGTCATTGCCACCGTCGTCGCCGTCGTCGTCGTCGCCGTCGTCGTCGTCGCCGTCGTCGTCGTCGTCGCCGGCGTCGTCGTCGCCGGCGTCGTCGTCGTCGTCGTCACTGTCGTCGTCGTCGTCCTCGTCGTCGCCACCGCCACCGTCGTCGCCGTCGCCGTCGTCGTCGTCATCGTCGTCGCCGCCGTCGTCGTCATCGTCGCCGTCGCCGTCGTCGTCGTCGTCGTCGACGTCGCCCGTCGTCTTGGCCAGTCGGAATCGTTGTCGTCTCGTCGTCGGCCTTGCCGCTCTCGCCGCCGCCACCGTTGATGCCGGCGCCGAGCGGCCCGCGCCGCCTGCGCGGCGGGCTCCGCGTGGAAGGCCCGCTCCGCGCCCCTGAGCTGCGGCTGCCCGGCCGGCGGCGCCACGAACGCCGACGACGGGGCGGTGATGGAGGACAACGCCTCGGCTGCGCGGGGCTCGTCGGAGGGGCACGGCAGCCCGACGACGGCGAGGATCGTCGCATCGTCGCCAGCACCGTTACCACTGCAGCACGTGACTGCACATGCTTTGCATGAGTGGCTGCAGGTGCGCATGCATGTGTCTAGGGCGTGAGTGCGTTGAGCGAGTCGAAGCCACCGAGACTCGAACCTAGAACTCACTAGACACGTCCCAGAGCCAGACCTGCGCAATCACAGCTTGAGAGCTCCTTGGCCTCATCGGGCTCGGCGGCACAGGCGGCGGCGTGCTCCAGCGACTCTCGGGTGCGCCGAGGGATGGTGGAACCACGGAGAGGGGGGGGTCAGCACAAGGGGGTAGGGGGAGCGGGGGGGAGACTTCTTCGGAGGCTGCTTCTTAGAAGGCGACGGTCTTACATCTACAGAGACGGCCTGCGCCTTCTGAGCAGAAGCCTCCTTCTAAGAAGCCTTCTCCCCTCCCCATGCCCCCCTCTGCGCGTGGCTGGGGTCAGCACACCGTGGCCCGAGTGCGCACGCGCTCTCACGGGCAGGAGGGGGGGGGCGCGGAGCGGTTCTTCGTGGACTTGGAAAGATTTTTCCATTCGCGGCCATCACGGGCGTTATTGGGGGGGAGGGGGAGGGGAGGCATAACGTAGCGCTCCCCACCCCTAGACTGTGGTGCCGGACGCACTGCGGCAGTGCCGGGGACGCACTGAAGGGAGGATCGTTACGTTATGGGGGAGGGAGGGGAGGGGGAGGGTAAGGGGGTGGCATAACGCTCGTTATGGCCCAGAGGGTAAAACCAAACACTCTCTTGCGTATGATGCCGTCAAGAGTAGGGGACGCAATAGGCCCGCCCATGGGTCCAACAGAAATCTGCTGCACCTCGAGGGACCGAACTGCTCTGTCGACACACATATATATATATATATACACATTATATAGAGAGAGAGAGAGGGAGAGAGACCACGGCTGGCGAGAAACTAAAAGGTGTAGCTAAGCCTGGGGCGCTGCGAGCCACACGAGCAGCGGAGAATACAGCTCACGCCAGGCTCATCGAGGAGGAAAGCCGAGGCTTAATTATGCAGCGCTTCCTGCCCTGGGTTTCTCTTCCGATCGCACCCGGTATCTGAACACGTTCGGCAGCTGAACGGGCCGTCGATCGAACCCGTTCGGCGCTGAGCGGGCTCAATCCCCTCCGCGGCATCGGAAGTCCAAATATTTTCAGCTGCCCGCATGGAACGATAGGAAAAGGTGGATTCCAGGAGAGCTTGGAAATATTGAATGTATGATTGCCACGATCTCATGACCTCTTGCTCCTCTGAGGAGAGGGCAGGGAAGAGGAAGAGGAAGAGGAGCAGGGCGCTGCCGCGCATGCTGTTCTTTTTCACGGCGACGTGGAGAAGGCATGACGCGCTGCGCACCAGCCGATCCGCGGGACACCCGATTGTTGAAGGGGCCCTGGGACACCCAAATTAATACACACAAATTACCCTGGCGACGTACCCAACCCCTGCGCAAAAGCGGGGCGCAAATAGTTTAGGATACTTTATAAGGGGGCGATGACGGAGCGAGGGTTACATATGTCTGCAGACGGAATTCGGGAGACTCGCAGGACACTGGCTACAGGAAAAGGGCTTGATAAAGCTGATGATTTACAATTCCTGAGCACTCCTAGCCACTTCGAAAACGGGGATCACAGCAGGCCTCGAAAGTGGCGACAGGTTCACAGATCGCAGCCCCGCAGGGACGGCGAGGTCTCATTTGAATCTGCCCGTGGCCCTCACTGTGCTGGGCCCCCCAGCAGGCCTCGAAAATGGCGGCAGTTTCGCAGATCGCAGCCCCCCAGGGATGGCGAGGTCTAATTTGAATCCGCGCGTGGCCCTCACTGTGCTGGGCCCCCCAGCAGGCCTCGAAAGTGGCGACAGTTTCGCAGATCGCAGCCCCCCAGGGAGGGCGAGGTCTAATTTGGATCTGCCGCGATTACCCTCTATGCTGGACCCCCCAGCAGGCCTCGAAAGTGGCGACAGTTTCACAGATCGCACCCCCCCCCCCAGGGATGGCGAAGTCTAATTTGAATCTGCCGCGATTACCCTCTATGCTGAGCCCCCCCAGCAGGCCTCGAAAGTGGCGACAGTTTCACAGATCGCAGCCCCCCAGGAATGGCGAGGTCTAATTTGGATCTGCCGCGATTACCCTCTATGCTGGACCCCCCAGCAGGCCTCGAAACTGGCGACAGTTTCACAGCCCCCCGCAGGCAAGACAGAAAGAGGCAGGAAAGAGGCGGGAGGCGGGAGGAGGAAGGACGCGACCACACTGCTCTATTCAAAACGAATACCCAACCAAGGAGGGTTGGGAATAACAGGATTCCCAATATTTTCCATATGTTATGGGTTTTTGTCTTCCCCCTCACTTCCCATCTTTTCCCATATCTTACTGGGAGTGGACGATTAATTGTGTCTGTGTTTACTCCCCTCCTGAATTGTGCACATGCGCAGATGGAGAAGGATGAATGGAGACCGCGGAGATAGCAAACATGCAAAGGCAGGGGAGCACAAATCTCTGCTCCACGCTCGACTCGTGAGCGTTGTTTTATTCGTCGTTTCGACATTGGGCGGAAAGGGGGGGAGGGGGCGGATCTGGCTCCGGACCTCTGCTTAGTACGACTGCTTGCAGCAGTGCGTCATGTGGCGGAGGGACTCCACCTGCTCGAAACAGGCGCCACATAGAGCCAATATCTACTCCAGGGAGAGGGGGGAGGTGGGGGTACCAGGGCCCGCGCCGATCGGCAAACAAATAATAAGAAAACGGTCAACTACACGCAAGCGTGACCCTCGGCAAGAATGACCCTTTGGCGCACGGCTTTCAGTGGCCGCGGGTCGGCCAAATCCCAGCGCGCAGGCCAGTGCTCAGGGGACCCTTGTGAGGGCATGAGCTGGTTTCGCGGGCGCTGGTTTCGCCGGCGCTGGTTTCGCCCCACTGGTTTCGCCGACGGCTGGTTTCGCCGCCGGCTGGTTTCGCTGGCGCTGGTTTCGCTGGCGCTGGTTTCGCCCCGCAAGTTTCGCCCTGCTGGTTTCGCCGACGGTGGTTTCGCCAGCGCTGGTTTCGCCCCGTTGGTTTCGCCGGCGGCTGGTTTCGCCGGCGGCTGGTTTCGCCGGCGGCTGGTTTTGCCGACGCCGTCGTCGCCGTCGGCGTCGCCGTCGCCGCTGTCGTCGTCGTCGGGTCGGGTCGGGTCGGGTCGGGCGGGCGGGACATCAAATGGTGTGTCGCGCTCGACCGAGCACGCGCGAACCCTAACAGGCGGGTCGGGTCGGGCGGACGGACCCTAGCGGGCGGGGGCGGGTCGGGTCGGGTCGGGCGGGCGGACCCTAACGGGCGGGTCGGGTCGGGCGGGCGGGACATCAAACTGGGGGGCGCGCTCGACCGAGCACGCGCGAACCCCAACAGGTGGGTCGGGTCGGGTCGGGCGGGCGGACCCTAGCGGGCGGGTCGGGTCGGGTCGGGCGGATCCTAATGGGCGGGTCGGGTCGGGCGGGCGGGACATTAAAGTGTGGGGCGCGCTCGACCGAGCACGCGCGAACCCAAACGGGCAGGTAAGGTCGGGCGCGGTCGGACCCTAGCGGGCGGGTCGGGTCGGGCAGTTTCGCCGACGGCAGCTGGTTTCGCCGACGGCAACTGGTTTCGCCGACGGCACCTGGTTTCGCCGACCGCAACTGGTTTCGGCGACGGCAGCTGGGTTCGCCCGGCGACGAAAGCCGCCGTCGGCGAAAGCCGCCGTCGGCGAAACCAGCGGTTGCCCCCGTGAATTGGCGGCGCGCAACATGGGGTAGGGGGAGGAAGGCTTCTTAGAGGGAAACTGCTTCTGAGAAGGTGCCCGTGCCCGTGCCGGCCTTACATCTGTTTTCTAATAAGCAGGGGTGCTTCTAAGAAGCCTTCCCCCCACCCCCTCCCCCCCTTCTGCGCATAGCCGAGTGGGCCGCCCCAAAGGTCACCCCCGCAAAGGTCACTCTGGCGAAGGTCCTTGAGGGCGTTTCCCTACCGCGCGCCGGCCCAAAAAGAGCGCTTCCCGAGCAGTATTTTCGGGCGGCGGCACATCTCGGAGCGACGACGACCAGCAGCGACGACGGCGCCCACGACAAGGCGAAGGCGGGACAACGACAAAATCCGACATAGATAACTCGGAATCTCTGGAAGCCGGCGGTTCCGGAGGATGCGTCGGGCACCGCGGCCGTTCCAGAGCGCTCCAAAGCACCCTGAAAGCATTCTGACATGCTCAGGATAGGCCTGTCCGACACGACGACGTTGTGGTCGGCCAGTAGGCCGCCGCTTCTTCGGCTACCAACCAAGATGGCGCCTCCATGGTCACTGGCGCGCTTCCGCGACAACGGCATCGTCGCTGCAGCGCTGGGCGACCCCAGGAACGCCCTCCCAGAAAGCAGAGGCTGGCGCCGCGCACCCGAGCTCCTCAGAACTGCGAGAGGCCGCTCACCCGGCCAGTGCTCTGGAAAATCAGGAATCGAAGACGTCTCGCGCGAGAGCCTCCTTGAATGACAGGGGGCCATACGTGGATGCCACGGGGGGTAGAGGTAGGGAGACCGGGGGCCAGACGTGGATGCTACGGGGGATACAGGTAAGGGGGCCATATGTTGCTGAGAGGATAGGGGGCTGCACGAGGATGCTAAGGTGGGTTGAGTGTGGCCTGACCTGGCTTACACACATCCGATACAACTGTCCTAAGTGGCTTGGGGGTGAGGAGTAAAGGTCTGCACTAAGTGGGCACCCCCCACTCAGCGGAGATATCCAACCTCACCAGCCACTGAACGCACTTGCAGCCCGCTTGTAGGGTCTGGCCACATCGCACGCTGGGCTTGTTAGAATGCTCCTCTGCTGCCTGGTGGAAGTTCTTCTGTGTTTTCTAAGGACGGCTCCCCCCCAACTCCCGCGGCCCACTTCCACAACAACAACAACAACAACAACAACAATCACTTTACCCGAACGCTCAGTGT